GATCAAGGCAGTGACATCTCCGGCCCATTCCGTTTGGATATCAGCCAGCATGCCAATGCCTTAAAACAAGGAATAGCTTCCTAAGATCTACAGAGATACTTGCAGGAACACTTCAGCATGTGAGAGTCCAAAAGTGGCAGGCGAAAACCCAGATCCTCATTCCATGGCTGATATTGAATGAGACACTCTCTCCTGGGCACACAGAAGACTGGGCAACTTGGAAGGTGCTGAACAGGATGCGCTCTGGCACCACGAGGTGCAGAGCCAACCTTAAGAAATGGGGCCACAAAGTGGAGTCCATGAGATACGAGTGTGGAGAAGAGCAAACCACAGACCACCTACCACATCTGTATGCGACCACTTGCCCAGCTGGTGCGAGGCTTTGGGCTTGAGTGCTATCAGTATGCTGATGACACTCAACTCATTCTGAGGATGGAAGGCCGACCAGACTCCGTACCCAATAATTTCCATCAATGCCTTGAGGCTGTAACTGGATGGTTGCGTGCCAGCAGGTTGAGGGTGAATCCAGCGAAGACGGAGATCCTCTGGTTGGGTCGCCCGGACGGAGGAGTGATCCGGTTGCCTACCCTGGATGGCGTGACATTATGCCCATCATCTTTGGTAAAGAGTCTGGGAGTCCTTTTGGACCCTCTGCTGACAATGGAGGGCCAGGTCTCCGCCGCGAGCAGAGTCGCATTTTTCCATCTGCGTCAGGCTAAGCGTCTGGCTCCCTATCTGTCCAGGGACGACCTGGCCACGGTGATCCAAGCTATGGTCATCTCAAGGTTGGACTACTGTAATGCCCTCTACATAGGCCTGCCTTTATCGGTGATCTGGAAACTTAAACTAGTGCAAAATGCTGCTGCCCGGCTTCTTGCAGGGGTCCCAGCGAGGTGTCATATCACTCCAATCTTGCAGCAACTGCACTGGTTGCCGATCAAGCACCGGATTACCTTCAAAGTGCTGATTATTACCTTTAAGGCCTTATATGGCTTGGGGCCAGAGTACCTGAGGGACCGCCTCACCCCCTACCAACCCCCGAGATCACTCCGTTCAGATGATCAGAATCTCCTTGAAGTTCCCAATTTTAGGACCTTTCACCTGATGTCTACTAGGCGTAGAGCATTCACGGTGGTGGCTCCTTACCTGTGTAATGCCTTGCCAGCGGAAAAACGAGCTCTCAGAGACTTACTATCATTTTGTAGAACTTGTAAAACTTATTTATTTAGGCTGGCATTTAAATCTTGTTGATTGAAATTTTTCTTTGATTTTAAATGTAATGTATCACATATGTATATTGTAAACTGCTCCGAGCCTTCGGGGAGTGGCGGTATATACAATTGATTAATAAATAAATAAAAATAAATATAATGCAGCCTGAGCCCTGCTACATGCACAAAGGAGCCACACCAGAGGCACTCTTAAGTGGACAGCTTCTGGTCAAAGGACAATTAGAATCAAGCCAAGTTTTTAACTTTGTTTGTGGTTTTTCTGTACATTATAACTGTATTCTCCATTTGATTCTGACACAATAAATAAATGGATTTCCAACCCTCCAAAACTAGCGGGAAGACATACTACCACTTACTCTATGCAGATGGTGCAGCACTACTTTCAAGAGCACCCATCGGCCTTGAAAAAGCACTGAGACAAGACTGCCAAACAGATGGGCTATGATGGTACAACTTATCTAGCAATAAAACCAAAAACTATGGCATTTGCCAAAATACTCAAGAGTCAGTCCTGGAGCATAGGCAGACATAGAATTGAACAGGTCCCGTGTTTCAAATACCTAGGAGTAGTCCTTCCACTCTTCCAACAGTAGAAAAGTGCATGGGGACTAGGGTTGTGCATTCGTGGTAAACCTTGACCCGGGTTTCGGTGGGGGGGGCCCCGTTCGGTTTTTTGGGAGTCTCCCAAAATCAGGAGGGCAGATACCTGTTTTCACTCTGGGGTGCCAAAAGGCCCATTATCGCGGGGCCTTCTCGGTGGTGGCCCCCCGGCTATGGAACTCCCTCCCTGCTGAAATAAGACAGGCGCCTTCCCTCATGGCCTTCCGCAAGGGCCTGAAAACCTGGCTCTTCGAAAAGGCCTTCAATTAAGTGCTATGTTTTTGGAATGACCACCGGAATGGACCATGACTACGAGACTGTTTATGACCCCAAACAAGACGAAGCGGATTTTTAGTTTAATTAGTTGTGTACTCGTAAGATGTTGTGTTATGGTCTCGATTTATTGTAAACTGTTGTCTTCTCTATGTTCTATGTTTTGTACACCGCCACGAGTCGCCCCCGGGCTGAGAGTGGCGGTTAACAAGTGCAAATAATAATAATAATAATAATTGTTGTCATTTTAGCTTGAAAGCATCTTATCATCCCTGGATAAGAATCAAGGGAACTGGGACTCAAAAAGATCTCGTTGTAGGCGTCTACTACAGACCTCCAAGCCAGGAGGAAGAACTGGATGAAGTCTTCTGCCAACAGTTGACCAAACAGGCACAGAGGAGAGATGTAGTAGTCATGGGCGATTTCAACTATCCCAATATTTGCTGGAAAACAAACTCGGCCAAGAGTACAAGGTCCAACAAATTCCTTGGTTGCCTTGCAGACAATTTCATGGTCCAGAAGGTAGAAGAGGCAACAAGGGGGTTGGCTACTCTTGACCTCATCCTAACAAATGCGGAGGACCTGATCGATGCAGTTGAAGTGGTTGGATCCTTAGGGGCAAGTGACCATGTGCTCCTGCAATTTGAGGTACAAAGGAAGACCGAAACTAAGACAAGTCAAACCCGCATTTTGGACTTTAGGAGAGCCGATTTCCGAAAAATGAAGGAAACACTGAGCAGCATTCCGTGGACACAGATACTGAAAGACAAGGGAGTTACGGAGGGATGGGAATTTCTCAAGAGTGAAATACTCAAGGCGCAATTGCAAACTGTGCCAACAAAGAGAAAAAATAGGACAAGTGCAAAGAAGCCAGAACGGATGGATGGAATACCTGGCCGCTCTAAATGAGTTCAAGTCCCCAGGGCTAGATCAACTACACCCAAGAGTATTGAAGGAACTAGCGGAAGTCATTTCGGAACTATTGGGGGTGATTTGAATGCAATATTCCTGCTTCTTGGCAGAATGGGGTTGGACTGGATGGCCCATGAGGTCTCTTCCAATTCTTTGATTCTACGATTCTATGATTTAAGCTGTTTTACTCTAGAGGAGAGGCACCCAACTGCAGGCAGGCACGTGCTTTAAGGAGGCTTCTTACCTGTTTCTACTCTAGAGGAGAGGTGTTTGGCTGAAAGCAGGTGCGCGCCCATTCTCTCTCAGGTCTGCATGCCCCACACATTCTCTCTTTCCAAGGCAAGGACACAAGTTCTGACTTTCTGACTCCAGAAGATTTCTGGGCCTGCATGCCATACACACACTTTCCAAGGCATGGAGCACCACATGCTTACTAAAAGCCGGCAAGGAGTTGGGATCAGCTCCAGTTTGTTTTCATGTCAAGCTGATTTTTGTACAGGAAGAGGCCTTCCTGTTACATGCTCCTGAAGGCAACGAAAGAACAGATGTACCAAAGTAAAACACTTACATACACAACTCTAATGGGGACCACGTGGCTGAGATGGTGTAAAGGAGCTCTGTAGCCATCCTGAAATGCCTCAATACACAAAAAGACCACTTCCTACCTGCGGCACTCAAGCTATTTGAAGCCAAACCAGCCACACAGCTCCTGTCTGGAGCCCAGCTCGGCCCCCTCTCCTGTTTGCCCCCCCTCCCCCAGAGCTTGTACAATCAATGTTTCTAAGACTGGCCCTGCAAGTACCAAGGTAAGTCTACAATGGCATCATCCTTGAGTGTTACCAGTACGCTGTTGACACTCAGCTTGTGCTGAAGATGGAGGGCCGACCGGACTCTGTATCCAATTATTTCCATCAGTGCCTTGAGGCCATTACTGGATGGCTGCGTGCCAGCAGGTTGAGGGTGAATCCAGCAAAGACAGAGATCCTATGGCTGGGTCGACCGGGCAGTGGGGATATCCAGCTGCCTACCCTGGATGGCGAGGCGCTACGCCCATCATCATTGGTAAAGAGTCCTTTTGGACCCTCTGCTGACGATGGAGGCCCAGGTCTCCGCCGTTAGCAGAACCGCCTTTTTTCATCTGCAGCAGGCTAGACGGCTGGCCCCCTACCTGTCCAGGGACGACCTAGCTACGGTGATCCAGGCTACGGTCATCTCAAGACTGGACTACTGTAACGCCCTCTACATTGGCCTTCCTCTGTCGGTGATCCGGAAGCTCAAGTTGGTACAAAATGCAGCTGCTCGGCTTCTTGCGGGAACTCCGATGAGATGCCACATAACACCAATCTTACTACAGCTGCATTGGTTACCAATTGAGCACCGGATCACTTTCAAAGTGATGGTACTCACCTTTAAGGCCTTGCATGGTCTGGGGCCGATGTACCTGAGGGACCGCCTCACCCCCTACCAACCCCAGAGATCCCTCCGTTCTGAGGACCAAGATCTATTGGAAATTCCCAGTGTCAAGACCTTGCGTCTAACAGCAACCAGACGCAGAGCCTTTACAGCAGTGGCACCATCGCTCTGGAATACTCTGCCAACTGAAGTCCTTGCCTTGCGGGACTTATCAGCTTTCCGCAGGGCATGTAAGACATATCTGTTTCGACAGGCCTTCGATCTTTAATATTGCTGTTTTTAAATTGTTTTAAATTGTTTTTAAATTGTGTTCGATTTTAGCCTGTTCTTGTAAGCTGCTCCGAACCCCAGGGGAGTGACGGCATATAAGTTTGAATAATAAATAAATAAATCCTGCAGCTAGAGGCAGGCTTCATGAAAGTGGAGGCCAGGGTGTGGGTGGCCATACTCAACTGCTGGCTTAGATGATCCCTTTCTCTCCTTGGTTTGGCCTCACTAACCATGAAGGATGACTTCCAATATCTCACCTCAGGGTTGCTACTCAGTATGGAATATGATCAAGCCAAGATATTTCCTGGAATTAGTTTTATTATCGCTTCCAGCATCCGGGCGGCTCAAGGAAAGAAACCCCAAAGTGCAGCCAGGGCGGGAGTGCAGGCATCCCATTGTGGAGGCAGGGCCATCATCCGTCATTCCCCCCTTTGCTTGGCCACGGTCCACTGAACGGTGCCCCAAACTCGAGATACGGAGAAGCCACACTCCGCCCTTCTCCATCCGGGATGCAAGCGTCCTTCTCCCACCCGCCGACGCCCCGCGCAGACCTTCCCACGGCATTCTGGTCCCACCCTTGGATCCCAAGACCCCCAAGGAACAACTGGAGTCCTGTCCACGCTCAACGTGGAGGGAGGAGACTCCGCTGCGGCCGAGGGAGGGAGGGAAGGCATCACCGCCTCCGGGCCCAGCACTGGTCCTTCCCTGCATCCTCAGTCCATCCGTATTTCCATTCCAAAAGCGATCCCGAAACAATCCTCGTCCGACAGGTTTGACCCATTGTGACCCTTTTCCTCCCGAGACTCAAAGCACGGCGCTGATGAGAAGGTTTATCTTGTAGTAGTAGCAGTAGTACACTTATTGTTAATAGTTATTCTTCTTGTTATTCTGGTTATTCCTGCAGGCGGCAGAGGTTCGGCTAGGAGGCTACAGTCTACCGGAAACCATTTGGGGAAAAATGGATGGATGGATGGATGGGAGGAAGGAAAGAAGGAAGGAGGAGAGGAAGTGAGCAAAGCGAAGGGCTATCTGGCCTTCAGGTGGTGGCCGTTGGCCGGGAGGGCCCTGCTGTTCAGCTCCAAGGGCCGCTCTTTGCCCAGGAGAACACCATCACCATCACCGCAGCTCCCGTTGCTGACGCTCCCGTTCTGCCGCAGCTCCTTCTCTGCCTCGTCCTCGGCCTTTTCGCTGTCCTCCGTGTCGCTCCGCAGGTCCTTCTCCATCTGCAAGTAAAGACCCGCCAGTCAAGAGGGATGCTTGAGATGCAAGAAACAGAAGGGTACTTTTCTCCACGCTTGGTGGTCATGCTCAACAATATCACCATTTTGGAAAGGGATGGTTATGGAAACCAAGAGTGTGCTCACTTGTAAAGTCAGGAAAAACCCAGCAATGTGCCTTCTGGGGCCCCTTCGACACTGTCCTTATATCCCAAGATCTGATCCCAGGTTATCCTCTTTGAACTGGATTACAGGAGTCTCCACTGCCAGATAATCTGAGTTCAGATCCTGGGATGTAAGGGCAGTGTGAAAGGGGCCTAGGTCTACTTAGGGTATAAATGTGCCAATACAGCTTTGCCGCAGCAAGAATTGTTATAGCAAAATCATGGAAGGGAGAAAGAGACCAACTCAGGAGAGATTGGAGAGAAAAATGAATCTATATATATAAATTTGTTAGAGGCATCCAACGGAGCCATAAAACTCAAAAAAACCCCAACGAAACTTAACCAAAATTCCCTTGCCCATAACACAACCCACAAGGTACAAACATATCTACTCAAAATGAAAAACAACACAACAACACACTCACAAAACGGCAAAACTGAGCATGCGCATTGGCGCCCAGCCGCAAGTTCCCTGGCGCGCGCACACGGCCTTCCGGCCAACGTTCCCTCTGCGGAAGCCATGCCCACTCCAAGCGCCGCCGCGCTGCTTCCCGCACACACACACTCCCTGCCGCACACACACACACAACCCCATGCTCCATCACTCCCCCTACCGCCACACACACACGCAACCCCACACTCCATCACTCCCCCCGCCGCACACAAACACACAACCCCATGCTCCATCACTCACCCCGCCGCCACACACACACACGCAACCCCACTCCCCCTGCCGCCGCACACACACACGCAACCCCACACTCCATCACTCTCCCCCGCACACACACACACACACAACCCCACGCTCCATCACTCCCCCGCCCGAACACACACACGCAACCCCACTCCCCCCGCCGCCGCACACACACACGCAACCCCACGCTCCACTCCCCCCGCCGCCGCACACACACACACGCAACCCCACGCTCCATCACTCCCCCCGCCGCCCCACACACACACGCAACCCCACGCTCCATCACTCCCAATCTTACCTCCTTTTACTTCACGCCACCTCCAAACCCCACCCCGCCCCTTCCCGCCCTGTCAAAATCCAGGAAAGACGGGAAGGAAGGAAAGAAGGAAGAAAGAGAAAGGGAGGTAAAGAAAAAGGGGGAAGGAAGGAAAGTTAGAGAAAGAAGGAAGAAGAAAAGGAAAGAAAAGGAAAGATGGAAGGAAAGAAAAGAGAGACAGCAGAAGAGAAAGAAAAAGGGGGAAGGAAGGAAAGAGGTAGGGAAGGAAGAAATGAGAGACAGAGGGAGGGAAAGAAAAAGGGGGAAGGAAGGAAGGAGAGAAGGAAAGAAAAAAGGGAATGAAGGAAGGAAAGAGGGAGTGAAGGAAGGGCGAAGATGTAGAGAAAGAGGAAGGGAAGGAAAGAAGGAAAGAGAGAAGGAAGAAAAGAGACCAGAAGAGAAAGAAAAAGGGGGAAGGAAGGAAGGAGAGAAGAAAAAGGAATGAAGGAAGGAAAGAGGGAGTGAAGGAAGGGGGAAGATGTAGAGAAAGAGGGAGGGAAGGAAAGAAGGAAAGAGAGAAGGAAGAAAAGAGACCAGAAGAGAAAGAAAAAGGGGGAAGGAAAGAGATAGAGAAGGAAGAGGAGAAGGAAAGATGGGAGGGAAGGAAGGAAGGAAGGAGAGAAAGAGGGAAGGTTGGCCACAGCAACACGTGGCGGGTAAAGGTTGTTATTTCTATTATTATTATGCTATTATTCCTATGAGACCCTTTTAGGGGGAATGGGAGAGGTGTCAGGTCCCAGAGGCAATGCATTGCATTATTGTTATTGTTATGATGGTGGTGAAATAAAAGGAAATAAAAAGTGAAAGAAGGAAGCAAACAGGGAGGGAAGAAAGGCAAAGGAAGAAAGGGGGAGGGAATGAAGGAAAGAGAGAAGGATGAAACCAAGTAGTGAAAGAAGGAAAGAAAGAAAGAGGTAGAGAAGGAAGAAAGGAGAGAAAGGGGGGAGGAAAAGGGGGAAGGAATAGGTAGGTACCTCTCTTTCATAATAGTCCAGATATCTACCTCAACTTTGATAAGTTTTACTATAGGCCACAGCAACGTGTGGCAGGGCACAGCTAGTAGATTATATAGAACTGGCCAAGCTGTCTAACCGTTTTTGAGGTAAAAATAATGATGACTTTGCAAACAAATGGCGACTGGCCCTTGTAATGGGGCCATGGTGGCGCAAGGGGTTAAACCATTGAGCTGCTTAACTTGCTGGCCTGAAAATTGGCAGTTTAAACCCGCAGGATGGGGTGAGCTCCCATTGTTAGCCCCAGTTTGAAAACATGCAAATGTGAGTATATCAATAGGTATGTAAGCCGCCCTGAGTCCCCCCTAGGGGGTTGAGAAGGGCGGGGTATAAGCACCCCAAATAAAATAAATACTGCCTCAGTGGGAGGGTAAAATGGCACCCTCCCCTTCAATAACAATGAAGTAATGCCGGCTACATGACCAGGAAGTGTCTACGGACAACGCAGGCTCCTTGGCTTGGAAATGGAGACGAACACCGCCTCCAGAACCAGAGATGAGCACTGCCTCCAGAGCTGGAGATCAAAGGGGAAGACTTTGCCTTTTTCTGTGTATTTGTGTTACATTATGTGTTTCAAAGGAATTGAATGTTTGCCTGTGTCTGTATATATGCTGGAATCCACTCTGAGTCCCCTCGGGGAGATAAAGTGTTGTTGTTATTATCTTGGAAAGAAGACAAACACAGAGTTTAAGGACCCTAACCCTTACTGCATTCACTAATAATTCTACCACTAGTATACATAGCATTGTAGATAAAGGGCAATCATGTCTATCTCCTTGGCTTACGTTAATACTGAAACTTGATTTTTGCATATAATCTTGTAATAAGATGTTTAGTTTTTTTTTTCCCCCCAAACAACCATTTCCAAGTCAAGGCGCTGGTGTTGTCTGTAGATACCTCCTGGTCATGTGGCCAGCATGACTGCATGAAGCACCGTTACCTTTCTGCCGAAGTGGTACCTATTTATCTTCTCACGTTTACATGTTTTCTGTGTTGGACCACTCTCACAACCACCATGTCAGACTACACAGAGAAGCCCTTGAAATCCACAAGCATGTGGACAATTTCAACAGAAAGGAAGAGACCATGAAAATGAACAAAATCTGGCTACCAGTATTAAAAAACTCTAAAATTACAACAGCAAAACAGCAGAGAGGAAACAACCAGGCACATCTTAACACCTCTCAACAAAAGATTTTCCCAGGCTCAGCCAGGCCTTCAAATGCTAATGAAGGTGGTCAGTTGAAACATTCACACCTAGCTCCAGCAGAGAAGAGCTCTTTGCCCCACCCCAGCCATTCCACAGATATATAAACCCATTGTCCTAATTCCAACAGACCTCACTACCTCTGAGGATGCTTGCCATAGATGCAGGCGAAACGTCAGGAGAAATGCCTCTAGAACATGGCCCTATAGCCCGAAAAAAACCCACAAGAACCTAGTTATTATTATTATCTTCAAGGTAAAATAATGATGAGTTTGCAAACAAATGGTGGCTGGCCTTCGCATATCATGGAAAGAAGGCAAACGTTGACTTCTTATCACTCGCTGGAAGCCATGCGCATCTGGGAGCCAAAATGCTACAGGTTCTGGGAGAAGCAGCTCCAAAAGAAGAACCTTCCCCAACTCCCATGAATCCTAAATGCCATGAATCTATGGAAAGGAAGGAAGGAAGGAAGGAAGGGGCCCGATTGACATGAAATATGGTGTATGGTTTGAATAGAATTGTATTTATTTATTTATTTACGTTATTTATATCCCGCCCATATCAGCCCGAAGGCGACTTAGGGCGGTCTACATATCGGCACAATTCGATGCCATTGATACATACATTCAAAAGCAAAAACAAAGTGCATTTAAACATAAAGACAGTGCATAATAACAGTTAAAAAGAGCTATATCCTCTCGTTCCAATCCTCATCCGTTTCATCGTCTTGGCCATTCCTGGGTCATTCTCCATCTCAAGTTTGACTATTTATTCCGGGGTTCCGAATCCTTGCTCGAAGAGCCAAGTTTTTACTCTCTTCCGAAAAGTCAGTAGGGAGGGGGCTGATCTAATATCCCTAGGCAGGGAGTTCCACAGCCGAGAGGCCACCACAGAGACGGCCTTGTCTCTCGTCCCCACCAAGTGTGCTTGCGAAGCAGGCGGGATCGAGAGCAGGGCCTCCTCAGACGATCTTAAATTCCTGGAGGGTTCGTAGGAAGAGATACGTTTGGATAGATAAGCTGGGCCGGAACCGTTTGGGCTTTATAGGCTAAAGCCAGCACTTTGAATTGAGCCCAGTAGCAAACTGGTAGCCAGTGGAGCTGATGCAACAGAGGAGTTGTGTTAGCAACCTGGCTGCCGCACGCTGGACCATTTGAAGCTTCCGGGCCATCTTCAAAGGCAACCCCACGTAGAGCGCGTTGCAGTAATCTATGTGGGATGTAACCAGAGTGTGGACTACCGTGGCCAAATCAGACTTCCCAAGGTACGGGCGTATGAAAGATATATGGTTGTGATCTATATAGTCTAGAGCAGTGGTTCTCAACCTTCCTAATGCCGTGACCCCTTAATATACTTCCTCATTTTGTGGTGACCCCCAACCATAACATTATTTCCATTGATACTTCATAACTGTAATTTTGCTACTGTTATGAATCGTAATGTAAATATCCAATATGCAGGATGTATTTTCATTCACTGGACCAAATTTGGCACAAATACCAATATGCCCAAATTTGAATACTGGTGGGGTTGGGGGGGATTAATTTTGTTATTTGGGAGTTGTAGTTGCTGGGATTTATAGTTAACCTATAATCAAAGAGCATTCTGAACTCCACCAACAAAAGAATCAAGCCAAATTTGGCACACAGAACTCCCAAGACCAAGAGAAAGTACTGGAAGGGTTTGGTGGGCATTAACCTTGAGTTTGGGAGTTGTAGTTCACCTACATCCAGAGAGCACTGTGGACTCAAACAATGATAGATCTGGACCAAACTTGGCATGAATACTCAATATGTCCAAATGTGAACACTGGTGGAGTTTGGGGAAAATAGACCTTGACATTTGGGAGTTGTAATTGCTGGAATTTATAGTTAACGTATAAACTATAAACCCAGCCCAAAATGGATCTGCACCAAACTTGGCACACTACCGACATGGCCAACATTAACTACTGGTGGGGTTGGGGGGGGGGGGGCTGTTTTGAATTCTGGGAGTTGTCATTTACCAACACCAACAAGGATGAGGACAGGCAGAGACCTTCAGCCTTCTCTGCCAAAAGGATTCCTAAGACCATCAGAAATATGTGTTTTCTGATGATCTTTGGTGACCCCTCTGAAACCCCCTCACGACCCCCCCAGGGGTCCCGACCCCCAGGTTGAGAAACACTGGTCTAGAGGTACCATCCTAAGATCGAAGCCTGGAAAACTACAAGAAGGAGGTGAAGAAAGTGGCCGATGACCTGTGACAATGAAGAACTGTTGAACTTTTGGGGAAAAACAATGTGTTTACATTATCAGAGGCAATGGCTCTTTACGTTAAGGAAATGTTTGCAAGGTTCCTTACGTTAAGAAGGAAGGCAACAGAAGGATCTTTATGTTTACCAACACCAATTAAAGAGAGTCAACATCTGTCAGGAACTGGGATGAAGCCAGGATGTTTCAGGCTGGAAAAACATCTATCATTCATTTACAACTTTGGAACAACATCAGCAAGAAATATTGCTATATAAGTGATCTGATGACTATTCAAAATTGTGGCAGACTGGAGGAGTCTGAGCCACCCACAGGAAGGAGAGAAATGGGGTACCTTTGGGACTGGCAGATCTACAGTGGGAAAGCAGAAGTGTGGTTACTTGCTCCTTTTGTCACGGGAAGAGAAAGGAGTGCAATTTTGGAGTCATGATACATTTGCAGGGAGTCAGTTTCCACTGTTGGGAAAATAGAGAGCTGATCCTTGGCATTGTCCTTGTGGAAAGAGGATGCATTTTGGAAGTTTTGGAACTGTGTGATGGCAGGCTTCAGGGAAAGCAGGGCCTGGCCTAAGCAGGTGCTTCTCCAAGGAGGGAGAAAGGATAGGGTAGTATTTGGATGGATGCATGAGGGTGAATGAATGTGTATGTGTAATGTAAATGTTGTTTGTGGATTCAATGTAGTTACAAAGAGTCTGCATGTCTAAATGTTGTTCTGTAAAAGTTCTGATACCCTTTCCTATACTGGAAAAAAAGGTAAAGGTAGTCCCCTGACATTAAGTCCAGTCATGTCTGACTCTGGGGTGTGGTGCTCATCTCCATTTCTAAGCCGAAGAGCCAGCGTTGTCTGCAGACACCTCCAAGGTCATGTAGCCGGCATGACTGCATGGAGCGCCGTTAAAGAACCCATAAAAAGAACCTTTAAAGTTAATGAAAAGTTGTTCATCACATGATGGTTGCGCATACCGTGCCACACTTGAGGAACTTGTAGACCATGTGGACAATCAGGCAGGACCAGAAGAGGTGGAGAAGCTGGAGCGTCATCAGGAGCCCGTTCATGAAGTAGTAGCCGAAGAAGGGCTGGAAGATCTCCATGGAGTAGTAGTATGTGTTGTAGAGCACCCTGGAATCATAGAATCATAGAATCAAAGTTGGAAGAGACCTCATGGGCCATCCAGTCCAACCCCATTCTGCCAAGAAGCAGGAATATTGCATTCAAAGCACCCCTGGCAGATGGCCATCCAGCCTCTGTTTAAAAGCTTCCAAAGAAGGAGCCTCCACCACACTCCAGGGCAGAGAGTTCCACTGCTGAACGGCTCTCACAGTCAGGAAGTTCTTCCTCGTGTTCAGATGGAATCTCCTCTCTTGTAGTTTGAAGCCATTGTTCCGCGTCCTAGTCTCCAGGGAAGCAGAAAACAAGCTTGCTCCCTCCTCCCTGTGGCTTCCTCTCACATATTTATACATGGCTATCATATCTCCTCTCAGCCTTCTCCAGGCTAAACATGCCCAGCTCCTTAAGCCGCTCCTCATAGGGCTTGTTCTCCAGACCCTTGATCATTTTAGTCGCCCTCCTCTGGACACATTCCAGATTGTCAATATCTCTCTTGAATTGTGCTGCCCAGAATTGGACACAATATTCCAAGTGTGGTCTAACCAAAGCAGAATAGTGGGGTAGCATTACTTCCCTAGATCTAGACACTATACTCCTATTGATGCAGGCCAAAATCCCATTGGCTTTTTTTGCTGCCACATCACTTTGTTGGCTCATGTTTAACTTGCTGTGCACAAGGACTCCAAGATCTGCTCTCCAGCCAGGCACTGTCCCCCATTCTGTATCTTTGCATTTCGTTTTTTTCTGCCTAAGTGGAGTATCTTGCATTTGTCCCTGTTGAACTTAATTTTGTTAGTTTTGGCCCATCTCTCTAATCTGTCAAGATCGTTTTGAATCCTGCTCCTGTCCTCTGGAAGGAAGGAAGGAAAGAAGGAGAAGGAAGAAGGAAGAGCTCCGCTGAAGGGCAGCAACACCACTTGACCCTAATCTTGCTCCTCCTTCCACTTGGGAGTACGAGTGCACCTCCCCGCTCTTTGGCGACTTACTTGTAGGGGAAGATGACCAGGCGGGTAAAGAGGAAGACGGCCGAGAAGGTCAGGAAGAGAGCGTCACAGATCCGCCGCCATTTCAAGTAATTGAAGATTTTGGTGGGCTGCAAGGCAGAGAGAGATTCCTTCATGTTAGGATGGCCAGACATTGGGACAGGAGCAGGAGCAACCATTTCCCCATTGTGTTGTCAAAGGCTTTCATGGCCCGAATACACTGGGTTGCTGTGCGTTTTCTGGGCTCGGTGGTCAATGTGTTCCTGCAGCATTCGCTCCTGAAATTTGGCCTGCATCTGTGGCTAACAGCATCTTCAGAGGTTCTATTGGCAATGAAGCAAGTGGAGTGTGTGTGTGTATCTCTGTGAAACAAGGTGGGAGGAAGAATTCTTCTCTGTTTAAAGCAAGTGTGAATGTTGCAATGAGCAAGCTAGAATTAGCATTTGACTAGACTTGCAGCTGCAAAGTCCATAAGTGAGGGTCTCTGCATTGAGGTGGTGAAGCAAGTGGAGTGCATATATCCCTGTCCAGGGTGGGAGGAAAGCACCAATGTATGGCTGTGGATGTTGCAATGTACAAGCTTGAATTAGCATTTGAGTAGCCATGAAGTTTGCAGTCAATCAGTGAGGGTCTCTGCATAGAGGTTGCCTGGCCTCTGTTACCTCGAGGCACCCTTTGTTTGGGAGATGTTAACTGGCCCTTGATTGCTTGCTGTCTGGAGTTGAGTTTCTGAGTGGTCTTATTTACAGTCTTGGTTCTCGTGTTTTTTTAAAAAAAAGATTGGTAACCACATTTTGTTCATTTTCATGGTAACCAGTATTTTTAAAATCTGCAAAAATATTTACATATATATTTGTGACTATGTTTGTGAATATTTCTGCATATATTTTAATGAATATTTTTGCGAATATTTTTTACAAATATTTTTTCTAAATATATTTATGGCTATTGTTTGTGAATATTTTTACAACTTTTTTCTGGAATATTTTTACGAATATTTATATTTATTTTGCAGAAAAAAAAATTCTCAAAAAATTTCAAAAAAATATTTGAACACCTCCCAAACAGATGTTTTTTTTTTGGGTTTTTTTGTCGTGTCAGGAGCGACCTGAGAAACTGCAAGTCGCTCCTACTGTGAGAGAATGGACCGTCTGTAAGGACGTTGCCCAGGGGACGGCCGGATGATTTGATGTTTTTATCATCCTTGTGGGAGGCTTCTCTCATGTCCCCGCATGAGGAGCTGGAGCTGATAGAGGGAGCTCATCCGCCTCTCCCCGGATTCGAACCTGCGACCTGTCGGTCTTCAGTCCTGCCGGCACAGGGGTTTAACTCACTGCGCCACCGGGGGCTCCAAACAGAGGGTGTATCCAGGCAACAGAGGACAGGCTATCTCTATGCAGATACCCTTACTGATTAACTTTACAGCTGCTCAGTGCTATTCAAGCTTGCAAATTGCAACATTCACACTTGCTTCACACAGAAAAATGTTCTTTCTTCCATCCTGGACATTCTATAGGTATATATACATTCCACTGGCTTCCCTGCCAACAGATCTTCTGAAGATGCCATTAGACACAGATGCAGGCCAAATGTCAGGAGAGAATGTTGCAGGAACACATTGGTTACACAGCCTGGAAAACTCGGAGCAACCCATTTCCCCATTGAAGCAAGTTTTTATGAAAGACCCCAAGGAGTGAGTTATAGCAGCAGGGGATTGGTCTCCCTGTATACCCGCCTGGCAGGGCTGGCGTATGGCCTCCCTTCCTTCCTCCCTGCCAAGCCTTACCTCCAAGAGACAGTCGGGTGCATCATGGATGATCATGACCAAGGTGCCGATGCGGATGTAGTTGGCACAGTAGGAGAAGCTGATGAGGAAGATGGTGGCGGCATGGTGCACAATCTGCTCATGGAAGTCCTGCAGCAGGAGAAGGAGAAGAAGGAGGAGGAGGAGGAGCATAATATCACAAGTGGAAATGTGTGTGTGTGTGTATGGCTGGGCTGCCCACTTACAAGGACAAGCTCCTGCCTCCACAAACAGTTATAGCTCCCACTACTCAGGAGACACCAAAGGCCCTCTCTCCAATGACTCTGAAGGTTATAGCAAGCACCATGAACATGTCCATGAGCCCTGCCAGTGTCCTCCACAAACACCATACCACAAACACCAAATTCACCTTGATCTGGGGGAGCTGTAGTTCACCTACATCTAGAGAGAACTGTGAACCCAAACAATGGTGATCTGGACCAAACTTGGCATGCACACCCAATATGCCCAAATTTGAATCCTGGTGGGTTTTGAGGGGAATTGGCCTGGACAGAGAGCCCACGGAACCCCACCAGTGATGGATCCAGAGCAAACTTGCCCAACACCACAAACTGGTGGAGTTTCAGGGGGTTAACCTGGCATGATGGGAGTTGTAGTTCACCCACAACTTTATGCATTTTGACTGCAACGCTGGAGACCCAAGATAATAAGCAATAAATCATATATTTTAGCAATATTTTATCATTAGTATTAGTAGTATTAGTATTATTATTACAAGAAACCTCTGAGTCTGTTACAGGGGAACCGGCAACAAAGGGGTGCTCACCCTTCCCTATGCCATCCAAAGCTTACTGTATATACTCGAGTATAAGCCTAGTTTTTCAGCCCCTTTTTTAGGCTGAAAAAGCTCCCCTCGGCTT